TCCTGGACTTGAGAATGTGAAAAAAAATGGTGCCATTTGTATTTCCGCTGTTTAAAGGGTCGTTTGCATATCATGACATGAATTCGCTTCTCTGTATTGGTACATTGAAACTATGAACTCGAAGAGTTGCTCATATCGCAAATCAATCTTGTGGTAGTTGGGCTGTAATATATTAAACCTTCCCTGGTCGCTTTGCAAAAAAAAATTAAGTCACAAGAGACAGTCGATCTCACTTTGTTAATCTACATTTTCTTTTCACTGCTGATGGTGACCAAATTCACTAAAGTTAGCCCTGTATACCAGAACGCGGAGAGGTCTCGACCTCTCTTCACTCTGTTATATACTGGAGCTGATTAAGCGCATGCAGCGGTTTACTTTGATATGTTTATTGTAATAGCATTTTATTTGGAATGGCCACAAAGCAAAGGTTTACTAAAATCTCTAAAATAAAATGTATGATTTCACTCGCTGTAAAGGTGTAAAAAATGCCACTTACAGCCTTTTTAACTGAGGAAGGTTGCCAAAAACATCTTCGGGAAGACACTGAATTTTGTTGTTCGACAAATCCTTTTGAGGCAAATAGTAAGCTAACATTTAAGAACCTAAAAAAAAAAAACTCTTTGCCCCACTGCACTGACCTCCCCTCAGTTTTGACCGCCGCTCGCTCGCCCCCTTTCTGTACAAATTTATTTCTCTGCTTAGGCTTCCATAGCTATAAAAAAATCAAGGATGGCAGCTAAAATTTTCACCCAGGTAACACTGAGCACTCGCCCTCCAAAATTACGCCTGTTCTGCTAGCTACTCTAAATAAAAGACAACACCGAGAGCATATTCCGTTGTTCGTACTTCACGCTTTCCGACTCCTTATTTCTGGTTCCAGATTTTGTTTCCTGTTATGCACCGTTGGGCCGCAATTTTTTCGTGTTGTCTTATGTGGTCATCACAGACAGAGCTGAATAATGAAATGCTGCGTCAGCGGGTATGCGGTCAACAACGCGGGCTCAAGTGTCCTAGGTCTAAAATTTAGCGAAATTAGCGGAAAATATTAAGGGCTGGCCTTTAAAACCGAGGAACTCTGTTTTCGTCGAAGGCACTTTCCTATTTCCAAAGGTTTAACAGAGAAAAATAATTTTTGAAAATTTTTAGGGGGTGCACCAAATTTTTGGAGGTTGTTCTGTAAAAGAAAAGCGGCAAGGAAAACGACGCCTCGAAGCAACAGAATAGGAAATCAACCATGCGAACACTCAAAATCCGTGTTTCCGCGGCAAAACCTGGCGTATGCCTGTACGTTATTCAGCTCTGTCGTCATTGCAAGTGTCACACATAACAAGAACAGCACACTAAAACTGTTTTTTTTTATTTTCTCTCGAAATGTCTTATTTGCACAGTAACTGGAGGGATCTTGACGTAAGTGAAAAATGTTGGGTTTTATCTTTAGGCAGGAAATTTTGTTGACACGAGTCAACGTTATGCACAGTCATGGTACTAGGTCGTATAGTTTCTCCTTCCTGTTCTCAGTCCACTAAATAGCGTTTCATTCGTCAGTTGGTGTACGTAACTGTTATAAGTGTGTCTTAACTCGTTTATCATTAGTTGGAAGATTTTGGGAGGAACAAACTGACGACAAGTCGATTGAACGTGAACTCAATGCGTTATTCAACCCTCGGTTCAGCGTGACCTAGCTACCCTGGGAACTCGTAGCGAATATTTTTTTGTTTTTGTTTTTGTTTTTAAAGCGGCACCTACTTGGCTAAAAGTCGTGTTCAAATTCTACCCTTCGATATATATATATTTTAAAGCATCTTATCCTTCACAGTTTCTCTATAATTTATTTTACAATGTGCATATCACGATGTCCACTCTTAATTGCCGAAAGCTTCTTTCAAACTCCTTGAATGAGAGACTTAATCAGGTGGTTGTCTCATGAAGTCAAGGGATCAAAATAGTGTGTCGGTGTTTTTTGCTGAAGAAGTGTCAGATGCAATCACTGATGTTAAAAGGCTTGATTTTCTGTGCGTGAACAATTTGGGAAAATTTGTCTGATATGAGTTTTTAGAATCCCCTTGCATATTTTTAACAAACATGGAATACTATTATTAGGTTTGCAGTGCCAGGCAAGTAGCCTTTTTCAACTGTTTGTTAGACCAATGCCTTATGTAATAATTTCAAAAGAACCTTGTTCACGTTATTTTATTTTATTTTGTTATATTTTTTGGATGAAGACAGGTCAATGTTCACTGCATTATATTTCCACTTAAATGATCGACTACTAATCTGACCTGCTCCATTGGCTTGTGAAGTTCAGTTACATTACTTATAATTAATTTTTTATTAGTTTAGCATTTTGGTGGATTATCCACATAACAAAATAATGGTAACAGACAATCAGAATATTCAGTTAAAATAGACCATTTTACAGTTGTGTAGTTAGCTCCCAAGCCTTTGATTTGGAATGAGGCTCAAGGTGACCTTGGAAGTTGTTGTGATAGAGACCAGTATCTAGGTAGCATGATAACAAAGTTATTTTCATTTGAAAAGCAGCAATGTCTGCATAATAACAATGTCACCATTAGCCTCACCACTGTTCAAAGACTATCATAAGCTAGTAAACATTATGAAACCCTGACAGTAAAGTGCATGCTCTGATTGGTCAACATAGTATCCACCATTTGCCCGTGGGTGGATGCTGCTGACATGAGCAAATGCAAAGAGTAGTATTTCACAAACACACTTGTTTTTTTTTTCTTCTGGTTACATGAGACTTGCTAAAGAAAAGGGGATTTTTTGCAACAATGTATCAATGTTATGTTATAAAACAATTGGTAAACACCACCGCGTACGTGTTGGACATTTGCTAAGTGCTCGAGAACCCAGAGTTGCTCTAGGCCATCTCCTCACACAGCTCTTATGCTTGTTTTGTGCTTAGCAATCCCCTGCGTGCATCCATAATAATATAGTGTATGCTGTGGTGTTTACCATTTATAAAATGGCAACCAGCTATTGGCTAGGGGTCAGTGAAAGCTCAAAGTAAAAACAAGCCAGTTGCCTCAAGGGCATGAAAATAGGAGTTTTTAAATGCTTGTGGTTTCTAGTCTGATTTGTGGAGAACATAGAACAAGTCTCTAGGACTTATCCCAGATGGGGGTTAAGCAAAATCAAAGCAATAGTGGATTGAAACTTGACACTCACTTGGAAACTGCTCCATTTTTATGCATCACTTTTTAAAATGAAATAATTTCTGGGAGGAGGTGTGTTTTCTTACCTCTTAAACTCATGGAATGGTTGTCAGGAATGAAAATGTTGGTCACCCAAAAAAATAGACACAGCATCAAGTATTACGTGGCGATTGAACTACACTGCTAATAGCCTGGAGCGAGTATGTGGCTGGGATTTTGAAACTTGGAATTAGGAAGGCTTGAGTACTGAATTGTAAGTATGAAGATAATAATTATTTGTTTGTTCTCTGTCTTTGTAGGCTTGGAGAAGTGAAGGATTACCACTGACAACAGCTAGCAATGATGCAGCAAAAATGTTTGATGCTACCCTAACACAGGTTGGCTTTGGTTGAAAATTTATATGGATATCAGGGCTAAACTGAAATATCTAACTACAGTCAAATCAGTAATTTTAGCTGGTACAGATATTTTTTTTTATCTATTGTGCACAATTCTAGTAAGGTAAGGTATGAATTTTTTTATGACCAACTTAATAAAAATCTAATTTATGCATGGTTATGATTGTGGGAGATTTAGTGTAAATCCTAGATTTGTACAGCCTGCTACCATTAATTGATAGCTACAAATTTAATTACAAGGAAAATCTTTATGAAGATATGAGCAGTTTCATTTTTCTTAATAGAAATCAAGTTTAGATGGTGTAATTCTCATAACAATCAATGAATAGCAGTGATGAGTATAGTGAAAATAATCTATGGTGCTCTGCTGATGGGTGTTATTACAGTATAATGAGCTGAGTTGATCACCAAAGGTAACTAATGATTGGAGTCATATTGCCATATTTTACTTCCATGAAGCTTTTTCCAGAGAGATATGACAATTAAGCCATTAGTGACAACTAATGTCCTTGTGGGAAGTTAAAGCATCTGGTTAATTTGTTGGATTATTTTTTTATTTTTAATTTTAGTACACAGGATGGTATGATGACAGCAGTGTCAATGGAATTGAGGGCTCTGTCTCAAAGATGTTAGCAGCAGATCCCAACTTTGGTGAGAACTTTTATATTCACCAATATGAATGATGATAATATGCAAATTTTTATTGGTGTGGACTTATGAAAATTTTTGACATAGTCTATTGTTTATTTTGAGATATAGGACTTAGAAAATGTATTGTGGAGATTATTTCCAGACAGTAACATAGATGTACAAGGAATGTAAAAATAAAAATGTGAATTGTTATAATTGTAATCATTTGAATTAGTATTGAGTGACTGAGTGTATTAGGGGAGTTTTTGAGAACTGAAACCTGCACAAAATACTCTTCCTTCAATCTTTGTTTCCATTTTAGGGAAGTCTTTGCTCTTCCATTAGTTCTGTTAACTTTATTGAATGATTGCATGGCCAAAGTCCCTATTCCTTCACAAAAATTTGAAAGGCAATCCGTTTCATTCTTTACTACCATGTTAGTGGCTGGGTACTTTAAAAATGACTTGTGGTGACTTCTAGAGAGCAATAGAGCTAGATTATGAAGAAAGATCTTCCTTCTTTTGTCTATGTACATGAGAGTGCTTTTAACTTTGATGATCCTAATCAGCCAGCAATATGCTCGATGGATGTCATACATGAAACTAGAAATGGCATTAAAATACAATATATTATAATAATATATTGTATTATTAACATGTTAGGGAGAGTATCTGTGGTTCAGTGATACAAGCATTAGAGAATCTGGCTCATCCAGACCTTCATTCTGAAATAGTATTTAATTGGTATCATTTTTGTGGGGTGCCCCATTTAATTTACATAACTTGTTTTGGTTTCAGTAATGGGTCATGTGATCTTGTGTGGCTTAGACCTGATTTCATCTGGAAAAGGAATCCACACAGATCAAGAGCTGAAGAGCAGCTTGGTATCCCTTGAAGGGTTAGCTGCCAGGAGTAACATCACAAACAGAGAGAGACTGCATGTCAAGGCAGTCAAAGAATGAGCAGAAGGGTAAATGTTATCAAGATGTCATGTCAATCACTGCGACAAAATTTTAATTTTTATCAAGTACATGTCTGTTCCCTTAAGACGTGTCCATCAAAATGGGTGACTAATCACATTTTTAATGACTGCGAAATGAAATCATATACGTGAACTGCGGATTAAGAATATTGAGCACTAATTAAGCAGTAATAATAAATAAAGCCTTAAAAAACATTTTTCAGGCCTGTACCGGCTTTGAACCCATGATCTCTGAGATACTGGATACTGCAGTGCTTTTAAACACAGATTGTTCCCTTTCCCAGACGAGCTGTTTACAGTATCTATGGTGCAATAGTTTATCTCATAGTTTTATGGTTGCTACCAAGAAAACATGTATACACATCTTTTACCGGCACTAAGAATTCGCAACCCATTTTTATGCTTACAAAGTAAGGGTGGTCTTTATCATCGCCGCCTTTGTCACTTCTGGACGACTAAAAATATCTTTAAAGGCACGAATTTCTAATTGTTTTCACCTACCCACCATTTTACCTACACCTGCAAATATGAAATTGTCGTGTACAAAACAATTTGTAAAAATTTCTGCTGCAATGAGTGGCTAGTGGAGAATTTCTCAAATAGTCCCTCTCCCCTTCCCCCCTCATCATCGGCGCTACGCCATAAGAGGGTGAGCGACAAGGAATACAATTTGGTTGGACTAACAGGCCGTACTCACCATATCTCTTAGTTTCACTCTCCTTGCTTTATCTCTTCTGCTGCAGTCTCTTTAACAACCCCTAGTAGGTAAGATGATATGATGGGAATTGAGGGAGGGCAGTTATAATTCTTGCCAAGGCTTTCATGTGAACGTCTTTTCCTTCATATAGGTGCCCCCTATGGACCGCAATATGAACAGTTAATAACAATATACTTCCATTCTCATTTCTTTCAGAAATACTGCCTAAGCATGTCTAACGTGGGAAGATATATTAATGGAGAACCCAACTGACATGTTTGCTTTGAAAATGGCTCAAGACTCCTACTTCTATCTTGGATACCAACGTCAGTTCAGAGATTCCATCGCACGGGTGATGCCGAAATGAAAGGAAAAAATGCACTCTATGGGTAGTTGGCTTAGCACTAACTGTTCTAAGTTCTTTCAGTATTCAATCAGTGTTTAGTCAGTCTTGTGTGGTGGATCCTGCCTTTCTCTTTGAATTAAGAGGATAGGCAATCAGAGAACTTGATCTCATAAACAGCCCTGTTTGTGTCTAAGTAAAAAGGTTGTGAAGTTAAACTTCAATTAAATACTGTTTTTGATAACCGTAATGACTCGACTTAGAGCCCATGGCGCTTATTTACTTACTGTACTTCAAAGGGGGTGTGCTTATTAGAAACAGGGCGCTTATCCAAAATAAAAAAAAAGAATGAAAAACAAAAAAAAAAGGAAAAGAAAACAGCGAATGAGTTAAGTGTTAATCTGACAGTTGTTCATTTTAGAGGAAACACGAAATTATCTTTCTATCAACGGCAGATATCTTCACTGAATGTACGCGTTTGGCCTGATAGAAACGGGATTTTACAGAGAGGCGGAAAAGCATACACTAAAGGTTGGCCTTAATACTTTCTTGATAGCAATTTTGTGATAATTAACTTCTTCAATAAACAATTTAGAAAGAGCTTGTGGTTACCTTCATTCTGAATCGTGGCGGAATAGCAGGCTTACAGTCTACATTTCCTTGTTGAACTTTACATAATACTTCAATGATGTGGTTGAAGAGGCAGATTTCACCATTTTGCAGTCAAAACGTAGCGATTATCCCATCGGAAGTGATTACATCCTAAAACGAACAGTGGTATTCCGATGGTAGTGTTTTATTTGTTTGTTTATAATTGTTCTTTTCTCGCGGTAATTTTATCTTGCAAAGGGTCTTGAACTGAATCCAAGAGATTGCTGGAGCACTCATGCAGAGGCCCATGTCATAGAAATGGAAGGACGTCAGGATGAAGGAATTAATTTCCTCGGCACGACCTTGAATGACTGGACTGTAAGGCCTACATAGAGTGAATTTTAGTTAACGTTAGCACCGCTGTCT